CCCGAGACTTGCAGGGCAATACTGCAGTGTTTGAAAGGATACCTTAAGGTAAGGTCAGGATTATTACTATATTTGTTAAAATTTAATTAGTTTCTAAATGTAATTATTTTTTTACATTTAATTAGTTTCAATTAGTTCGTGAATCACATGACTGATGATGCCACTTAAGAGGCGAAACATGTCTCATAATATATTTTAACTTATTTGTAAAATACATGGCAACTCTCTATATTTATCAATAACATCAATAACGAAATCACGCCCCGACATTATGCAACTTTCGACTTGACTGGACGAAGGCTCGTGGCAGACTGGCATGAGAATGGACCACGTTTCCGCCACTCACGATACGATGGCGCGATGGAGTGATGGAGCGATCGGATGGATTATGGCTCGACAGAATATCCAGACGAGCCCACCGCGCCACGCCAATGGACTTGAGTTTCCGCATTCACAGTACAATTTTGGAGCGACACCGCGCCATTTGGACGAATGGAGCGATCGTGAATGGCCGGCTTTAGAAAACAGCAAAGATTTATAGCATATTTCTTTGTATTTGTCGGCACAGAGAGCTGGTGTGTGAATTTGAATTTTGGTCCGCATCATCCCAACATGTGAGCCGGCGTAGCACAGTAAGTATAGTGACTGACTACGGACTGGGTGACCGGGGTTCCTCTAGCCTCTGCGTCCAGACCGGTTCTGGGCCCCAGCCAGCCTCCTATCCAATGGGTATCAGGGTCCTTTCCCGCGGGGGTAGATCGCGGCCGGGACGTGATGCTGGCCACTCACCCCCATCTAGTGCCGAGGTCAAAAATGAGTAGGAGCTATATCACACAATAGCCTTTTCTGAAGCATCAGGAGTCTCTTCAACTTCAACCTAGTATTCTAATCCAGACGAGATCTTCAAACAGATGTAGACCTCAGATCTTACAGCCTGTAGACTACTGCGATATATTAATTGTTATACTGATTAGTGTGGTTCCGAAAGAGTTTTACATCCTTCTAAGTCTTTCCATGTGTTTATTCGTCCTTCCACAGGCTCAGACGCGGTTACTAATGTGATAGGTTCGTGTGGTTATTTAAATGGGATAGATGGGTGGCTATTATATTTACGAAACTTACTTTGGATTTGCTTGTCCTATATCTTCCAAAATCTGGATTTAATATAAGTCAGAATGTGATGAAGTTGGAGTGAAGTGAATCGTTTACTGTAGATGGAGTCAGTGACAAAATATACACAGAATTATCATTGGAGTTTTATCCGTGGTCTCAGAGTGTGATCTCGTAAAGTAAGTTTCAGAGAAACTCTCAATTGGTGAAACATTACTTTATGAAAAACCAATATGACGTTGATGATGTTGACGTTTTACAAATTCGTGGGCACAAGAAAAATAACAAAATAGGCAAACAGAAAAATCAAACAAAATAAAAGACATTAATTAAGAATATTTAGTGTTTTATGCGTGTTTTGCAATGTGAGTACTTATGTTTCTATGTACAGATATGAGTAAGTCCCTATTTTACTTTCATGGATCATGATAACTCAAATACAATATAATTTGCATTAACCGTGTTTCTTGGCTATCCGGGCCCCTGCTTCCTCCATTTGCCACGGATAATGGGCCCTCTCTGTATTTAAAGCAGCTGATAAGCCTAATATTTAATTTCCGTTGTGAAATGTCGCTGTCAAGTTGAACTATCGTGAGCATGTGCGTTAGGATGAACACGGACGACGAGAGTTGTTTCAAATTAACAAATTAATCGAATTAGCACGTGGAGGATATTAATGGAACTTTCTCCGAAACCCACGTCCAAAAGTGGTCAGAGATTTTTTTAGAATGGAACTCTTGCACACAAAAAGCTCCCTCCGGTTATGTCGCCATTTTACTGCTACAGTTGCTCTCTTAATGGCCATCGCTGGAGTTACGTCACTTCTCCCGCATTCTACAAAGAAAGCTTTGAAGTTCTTCTCGCAGTAGTGTGAGTTTAATTTCTGTATGCCGCTTAGTTTTCGTTAAATAAATAGGAACTTATTTGGAACAGCTGAGATTATATGTATTTTTTGAAATGGCTGAACTGAATTTTATCGTACTTATGCCATTCATTCTTGTCGTCAAAATATACTAAGTACAAAACGTATAAGTTCCTAATCGGATAAATGCTACCAATTTACAACACATGCAACATTCGACGTTTTGGAAATTCCTTACTTTGAGTGTTTTTAATAAGGCAGTTGTTTTAGTTACTCAACTAAAGTATAAACCTTTCTACAAATATAGTCATTAATATAAGTATCACTTGGCTCACTTTTTCTTTCGGAGTCATGACAGTTGAATAAAGTTAGAATAAGCGGCGGTGAAGGAATGGTTTTGGCGGTATGTGGGGGTGGGTTGGAAGAACAGAAAACGTTCGGGCCCTTACACAGCATTAAGAACCAAGTGCCAGTCGACAACGGTATGCCCTGCATTCCAAGCCCCTCAGCCCACTCCGTCTTTCTTTAACACACTCTTCTCTCTCCGTGCCAAATGGTCGAAAGATACCGCCTAGTTTGTTTCTCAAACCGTGAGGCGTGACGCCTATCACCCAGTGCGAAACCTATTATGATGAACGCAGTACGTTCTTCTGCAAGGTTGGCACACAGCCAGAATACTAGACGGCGCAACAACCCCGAAGATCATAGATAATAAGAAATATTTGTTATTCCGTTGTCGGTTGTCAGGTTCTCATGATGGCTAGTGTGAAGATATCTGTCGTCTCGTATGATGCGCCGTGGAATCACGTAGAAACTGGCCGACATTTCATAGGCGCTTACTGCCGCCGTCATCGTACTGATGATGAAGAGAGTAAGGACTGTGAAACATCGGTAAATTTCTATGATACTATGCGGCGCAACTTCCCAGAAGATAGACATCTTTATTATTCCATTTCTTTCGTGGTCTTGAGTTAAAGGTAACATAATGCTAGTGAACCTCAAACATCGTCAGTTGACTCTTTAAATATAGGCCTGAACTGTATAGAAACAGCGTCTAAATATAGTGGTAACTGTATCTACCACCTTTACCTTTACCATTTTGCACACGAAGTGAATTTAGCCTAATTATGGTATCGTATTATCCTCACAATGAGCAGCAATGCTTACAAACTTTATAGGAGTAGCCTGTATTTGCAAATTTACCTTCTGAGAGTTTAGCACAGCTAACATGGTAAAGGTTACTAATAAGCATTATTCTCAGCCGCTTCGCTTCACCTTACTACATCAAGCCTGCGAGTTGTTTCAACAGGATACACTTTAGTTTTATTCTATTGGTCTATCTTCCAAGCGGTAATTTTCGATGATCGGTACCACCAAAACTGTATACGGTTTCTTGTTTCTTCCGAATTGTATGTTCACTCATGAATTAAGATATTATAGTATAAAGCTACTAGGAGTACAATAATATGAGACGTGTCATAATCTTTCAATTGGATTACTCATTCCCACATTTCATAACATTCTACGACAGTAATTGTACGACCAGTTTACGTATTGGTAAAGGAGGGCTGAAGTTCATATTAAGGTAAAATATCTACTGACTAACTAACTAACTAGATGGCTTACAGAACCCGAAGATTCATCACCAAATTAACCAAAACCCTCCACCGGACCCAGTCCTGGGCCACCAATCACCAGTCTCCTTCAACTTTTATCTCCCGTAGATCCCGCTTGACATTATCCTCCCATCTACGTCTAGGTCTCCCCAGCGGTCTCTTCCCGTCAGGCTTCCCAACCAACACCTGGTTCATACCTTTGTACCATTTATGCGCGCAACATGCCCCGCCCATCTCATTCTTCTTGACTTAATCACCCTGACAGTAATTGGGGAGGTGTAAAAAATTTTAAGTTCATCATTATGCAGTTTTTTCCATAACCCATCGTCTTCTCTCCTAGGCCCAAATATCCTCAACACCCTATTTTCAAACACCTGCAATCTGTGTTCCTCCCTCTGAGTGAGAGACCGTGTTTCGCACCCATACAAAACAACAGGCAAAATTATTGTTTTGTATACTTAATTTTCAGGTTCTTAGAAATCAGACGGGAAGAAAAAATATTTTGAACTGAGAAGTAGCAAGCATTTCCGGAATTTAGTCTCCTCCTAACGTCCTCACGAGTGTCATTTTGATTTGTTATTGTTGGTCCCAAATATTTGAGCTTTGTCACACTTTCAAAGGATTTATTAGCCACCCTAAGACAATTCTGACTACCTGTCTGCTGACGAGATACTAACGTGTACTTAGTTTCTTCTGAATTTACTTCTAGTCCCACCTGTCTACTAGCCTCTAACAAAAGGTCTGTGTGTTCGTCATTATTGTATTTATGTCGTCTCCCAAGAAATTAACATCATGAGAATATGCCAGGAGCTGGTGTGTCCCATTCAATTGCAAACCCTCCTGCCTATCTTGCACTTTCCTGATGGCATATTCTAGCGCAAAGTTAAAGAGCAAGGGAGACAAAGCATCTCCTTGTTTCAGACCGTTCTTGATGGAAAATGACTCAGATAAATATTTACCTATACGAATTTTCCTGCAGGCTTCATTTAAGCGCATTTTTATTAGTCTCACTAACTTCTTTGGTATACCAAATTCAATAAGAATATTGTATAGCACTTTTCTCTTCACAGAGTCATAGGCGTTTTGAAATCTATAAATAATTTATTTACGGTCCCACTGTACTCCCATTTGTTCTATAGTATCTGACGAATGCAAAAGATGAAAAATATCTACTATGTTATTTATTTTTAAGTCAGAGTGTATTTTCTTGGTACATCGCATACAAAATTCAGATCTGAAATACTAAATTTCTTGTACGGGAATCCTGTAGCTATGTGAATTTCGAACTGGGAAACATTCATCGTCAGATTTCTTTTCCTGTCGTTGGAGTTGACCTAATCGGTCATAGATCATTTCCTGCAACGCTTTCGCGAAATGAGTACTAATAATATTCTGCTGTGTTTTGATTACAGACTTACATCGGGAATGTGCTGGTGTCAGTGAACCCTTACAAGAAGTTGGCTCTCTACTCTGGGGAACTGGTGAAGGCATATCGTTGCAGGGGGCTGTACCAACTACCGCCACACATGTGAGTACCAATTCAGTACGTGGGAATATTACGTAAAAGTTCGTTTATTTTATATTTGTTCTTCTTGTCCGTCGGCCCTGAGCCTGGTCCACCCCTGCCATAACGTAACAGCGTAATGCAACGAGGGATTTTGAGGACGAGACGGCGCTCATTCTGGCCGACGCCCACGCTTTCACCTGTAGCGTAACAAACATCTTTTGGCGGTGGCTGAAACACCGACAGTAGCTTTTAGTTCCGGCACGCCAGGAGCAAAAAATCGTCCACACATGCGCGCATTCTCTGTTACGATACGCTGTTAACGTTACGGCAGAACGCGCTTGTGTGGACCCAGCTTTAGGCATGTAAAGAATCCAGTGAGTCCAACAAATTAATGATGGTCCTGATTTCTGATGCTGGCACAGTGTGGATATCGGCTGTGTTGCCAACGTTTCGGAGGTGGAACATGCTTCATCCATCTTCAGGGATGACGTGTGTGACACATATTCACTGTGAATTATCGCAAAAGTCTAAAACCAGTTTTAATGAAATTATATCAAGACTGGACAACGCAGACTCTGCTTTGCATAAAGACTCAAAGTTCTTATAGTTTCACTTTTTCTTCGTATAAAATGTTTTCGATATAGGCTAATGCCCATCAAGGCTCTGATAACTAAATATTTGTGGTATAAATATTAGGCTGTACTTCAGGTATGAAAAACGTACTTATTATATTTAAGTTAAATTAAAATTACGTGTCGAGTTTTAGTTTGATTCTGGCAGTCGCGAATAACCGGTGCAGCTGAGTAGATAGTAAACTAGTTGACTAAGTAAACTATTAATTATCTTACCACTACTCTGGTATTAGAATCTGAAGCGCTAGGTATCAAAAATAATTTTCTGGCCGAATGACTCTCACCATGTACTACGTAATAAGGAGATCTTCCGCAGAAATGCCGTGAATACCTCTGTACTCCCAAACAGACATATCTTCTGATGTGTGACTGACACTTTTTCGGTTGCCTGGAAACAGTCCTATGCTTATAATATAAAAATTGAGAATAAATTGTGTTTTAGCTGCGGTCCGGCCCAAATATATAAGTTGATGACAGCATTTGAAAACGCCGTTTTCCAATT